GTCTTCCTTATCGTGTTGCTGCCCCTCACCTAAAGCACGCCAAGACAGGTCAGCCACTTACACGTAATGGGTAGTTGTCTGTGGTGAAAAATGCCTTGCATAACTTTCTGTTTCTCCATTCTCTGCATAGCTTCTTGTCAACGCCTTCTGTTTTCGTCTGCGCTATTTCGGAGCATTTACATAGTCAAACATTTGTACAAATACTTCCTTATTCCTCCGTATGTCAACCAGTCAAGCCTACAAAGGCGTTATCTGATTGGGCTGGAATATATTATTATTATTATTATTATTATTATTATTTTTTTATTATGTATGCAGCAGTGCTTAATTTCTGTTTGCAGTTCCCACCCGTCTCTCCCCCGGTTGTTTGAATGAGCTGCTTGCTCAGCTCTGATTGGCCGCCCGCAGCTGCCATATATGGACATAGGCCAGCAGCAGAGGCAGGAAGTGGGGCAAAGGAGGAAGTGGAGAGCCTCCTGTCAAAGAGAAGCATGTGCAGCCTGCTGAGGAATCACAAGAACAAACATGCCACACCTTGTTTCTCGGTCCATCTCCCAGCTTTTCTTTTCGAGTGTACAACACGCCACCCCGTCGGTTATCTCACCCCTCTCCTGGTCCGCTCTTGATAATGGTCATTATCTCCCCTGCTATCTCCGTCTCCTGACTTAGCATCTTGACACACTAGTGTCACAAATGCAGTCCCTTTGGGAGCTTAAAACTGGAAATCTCTTAATCGCTCACGCCAGCAATCTTTCAGCTTAGTTCAGCATGCGAGCGCCGCTTTTTACACCTGAGCGTTTGACAAAGTCCAGGCCGGAGTTATTCAGCGGCGGGACGCAGCGCGGCCTGGCCATGTGCAGATTCACACCTGCCAGAGGAACACGTTGCTCACCTGATAACTGATGGTCCTCTGTAAAAATAAATTTGGTTATGCAACTCCATTAAATCATATCTTTGAACATCAGGTCAAATTAGAGTTATTTTGGTTTGATAAGCAGTCATAAACTGTGACCTCTGACCCCCAGCTCAAATAAAAAATCGGAAACACCAACAAGGCGACATGTGCGGAAGGGCCCCATGTGGGCCCCACAGGGTTTGCCTCATAATGGGCTTCTTCTATGGAAACATTTTGAATCAATTAATCAATCAATGAAGTTGATCTGTGCAGCACATTTCAGAAACATGGCAGTTCACATCATGAAAACATAAAGACAAAACATCATAAACGCATCATACAGTCAACAGTTATGAAAACAGATATTACATCGTTAAAATCATCAATACACGTCAAATGTTTTGGTCAATGTTCTTTCCACCCTGTTGTAGAAAGTGGTTTAAATCTGGGCAGCTCTCTAGATTCAAAATGGTGTCCGTTTTCCCCCCCAGAGTTGATCTGCCTTAAACCTGTGTTGATGGTAAACATGGGTCCATCCTATTTGGGATTCTTTTTCCAGCCTGTTTACCCCCTATGTGGGCCCATGTGGGCTGTACTCCGGCTAAACTGCCCCTAGTTTACATAGACCTTCCTGTATGGGGCCCATTTGGACTGACTGTACCCAACCTATTTCGGCAAAACTAGGTAGGTACCCTGAGTAGGTCACAGTTGGCTCTGAAATGGGTGTTAAAAAATGGGTTAAATCTAGCATTCAACCCATGTAGGATTCAAATTGGTCCTACTTTGATTACATCATTACATCACATGCATCATTTTGATATGAGGTAATCTGCTGACAGTTGTATTTGGAACTGATTTTGCGTCCCGTTTCCCACCTATGGATGACATATGCCTTGTCTTAATGTGTCAACTATGAAAACTTGACCAGATTGGTACCCAATGTAGCTGTAGGTGTTAAATAAATGGGTTGAATTTGTGCAGATCATCTTATGGGTCCCACTTCTTATCCAGTTACCTTTTCAACTGCATATCCAGCTACCATAGTGAGATCATGAGGGCGTGTATGGAGTATTTTTCATACCAAATACAGATACAACTGATACCAAACTGTTGCATGTGAAATAGAACCAAATGGACCAAACAGAAATATCACCAACCGGACATGCTAAGAGATACAAACTGCGGTGCTAAATATCACCGAGAGCTTTTACAGGATTAGAAAAAGTTCAGATCTACACAATGTAGCAGTTGTTGTGAAACTCAGGAGAAATGACAAGCGACAGTTTTGATTTCGCAACTCCTTTGACTCTTGTCTGTCAAGGCTTGTTTGTGCTGGCAGGAGTGTGCAGTAGAGTTACAGTCAGGTTGTGTGTGTGTGTGTGTGTGTGTGTGTGTGTGTGTGTGTGTGTGTGTGTGTGTGTGTGTGTGTGTGTGTGTGCTGACCTGGTGGGGTGTGTATTGTTGAAGCCACACCTTCTAGTCAACACTGACATCCATAAAAGGAGATCTTTAAGTTTGTCACATGACAATAATCTGAGGAATGCAAGAATGGTCACATGGGATGCCATCTCAAGAAATCAGTTTCACCCTGAGGACAGACGAAATTGTTTGTGTGTGGGTGTGTGTGTGGGTGTGTGTGTGTGTGTACGCAATTGTGGTTTCATTATGAATTTCTCAATTATTAGTTGCAGTTATCTTTCTTTTAGAGTAAATGGCAAGACTTTATGTCGTTATGTATCATGACTGTGTGTGTTTGCGTGTGTTTTTATCTTATGTGCGTGTGTGACCGTGTGGATTTCACTTCTCTTTCAGATATGCTTCAGTAACTGGAAACTGCAAAAGGAGGAGTTTGTTCCAATTTCCTTCTCTGTCAGAAGAAGAACAATTTGTGTGTGTGTGTGTGTGTGTGTGTGTGGGGTGTGTGTGTGTGTCAGCAGTTCATTGTGTGCTTGCCAACAGAGTGGTTTTATACTTGACAGTTTAGTTTCTGAAGGACCTCATAATAACTCCCCTCCCCACTTCCTTTTTTTTTTCTTTTCTTTTAGCACATCCTGTCCTGTTGACAGAAAAAAATCAGCTTTCAGTCCGTGTTTGTGCACAAATGTATGAATGTAGAATTGAAAATCAGCACTTCCTGAAGCTGCAGCCTCCCTGCGTGCTGCTCTCTACTGCCCCCTATAGCACAAAGCAACTCATGTAAACCACACAGTTGCCTTACACTTCACTGAAAGGGACTTCCTCTTTTTTTTCCCCTTTATCTGGCACCATATAAGGTTAACAGTTGACAGGTAGACACATTCTGCATGGGCTGAGCCAATGGTGCTGCCGAGGCTGAGTGAAGCATCATGTCTCCTTATATGATTTGACAGCGAAGCGAGGCTGTTTGTCAGCGTGAGGACAGGAAGTTTTGGGCAACAGGCTGGTGAGGATGTTCAGCTGTCATCAGCATACAGTTTGAGATTTTCCAAAATGGTCCAATCGGCTGCAGAAAGTTCCAGTTTTCCCCAAGTTAAGAATGTAAAAAAATAATAATCATAACCAGGATGCGATTTAGCTGCTTTTGTGACTCGTAGGTTTTTGAACGAATGTTTCAGCTTTACTGTTTTGTTGTCTGAGGTTTTTCAGTCTGGCTGATTCAGCGGATTTCAGTCGTGGAAGGCAGGAAACTAATAAACACGCTCTAAATTTGGCGTCTGCCACTTCTGCCACTCGACTTTCTCTGCTGGTGACCTCCGAGCTTCACCACCACTGACTCAGACCTCTGCAGAGCATTCCTCACGACCCGCTGCCCCGCAGCATGTTGGCTCAGCAAGAAAAACCTTCCACCGACTTCTTTGTTTTAGAAGTGGCCTCCTACTTGCAAAACAAAGGCATTTCTATTGTTGACGTTCTCCATGTTGGCATGTTTCTCCAGTCACAGGGCTGCTGCAACCCGTCACTCTTTGCTTTCCTTCCTTTATTCCACCTGCATCTTTTTCGCTTGGACAAAGCTGTTGCCTGGCCCCCCCACGGTTTACCTCTGCAGAGTACACACACACACACACACACATGCACACACACTTGGTGTCAGAGAGTCAGACGGAGATGAATCTGAAAGCTAAAAAGGTATCGGAGAGGCTATTTGTGTCTGTGCATGCTTGAGCGACCTGCTGTGTGTGTGTGTGTTCTGCAGCTGAAGGGGTTCCCATAGCGGTGGGTAAAATATAGGTCATGTTGTGAAAACACACACGCCGTCTGCTTGAATTCGATTAGATTTTCGACACAAAGTCGTTTGAGACGGAAGGTAACACGCTTCATTTGGTTTTTACACTTTTCAGATAAAGATCTGAAAAGTGTGGTGTGCATTTGTGTTCAGCCCTTCCAAGTTAATCCTTAGTGAAGCTGCTTTTTGGTGCGCAGATCTTTACTGGCATGCCTTCCAGTTGCTTCTAGATGCTCAAATTTGTGGCTTGCTTTTCTTTGCGGATAACTCTCACTCAGCCTCACTGCACAGAGAACCAGGGCCGGGTCTAGAGGGGGCGTGGGCCCCTGGGCTGGAGCCACTTTTGGTGACCTAACCGGTGCCCGTGTACATTAGCGGTTATGAATCGACGCACGCTAAGTTTAAAGCGTCTCGTAGCCACACATTGATCCCAAAGAAAATACACGTAAACGTACAAGTATTGTTTATTTTCATGAGTTTGTTTATATCCTATCAGCTTTATAAAATAAAGTAAAAATGTTTGTAAATATGCATTCATCTAAACTACAAAAAGTTTTTTATTTATTAATTATTATTATTAATCTCTTGGTAGAAACTTATTAAGTTGTCTGCATTGCCCTGTAACATGTATTTATACTGATTGTGCCTGGATGAAAACTAGCCTTAATGGCTAACTCTGCACTATCCCTTTTGAAATAAATAAACAACAAACAAACAAAAAAAGGAAATAAAAATCTGATAGTATCTGCTTTGCACCAGATAGTATCTGATACTTGTTTTTCTTTTAGTATGCTTTGTGTATCCTTCAGAGGCTCTGTATTTGGGCCGACCCCCAAAAAATCTAACAAAAGCAATCAGCGCCCTGGGCTATTGCCCATGTCAGCATAAATAAAGTAAGTTTGACAAATTTAATTCGGTTACATGTGACAAATTTAAAACAAAAAAATGAATCTGTTCTCTTTTTTTCAGTGAGGACTGCGTTCCTAACAGCTCTGACCGACATCTCCATCCCCTGCTAAATTAAAGAGTCCCCACAGCATGATGCTGTCACCGCCATGCTCCGCTTGTATCCGAAGCGATGCAGAGAAAGTCATAAAGTTTTATTAGGAGCTGCTGCATGAGCAGCTCTTCTCTCCTCTGCTCCACCAATTTTTTTTCTGCAGATATGAAAATGTCTCAGCCGTGGCAGCGTGTTGTTTAGATAACGGCCTCAGTGGGCAGCAGCTGCAGCAGCGCAGAGAGATTACATGCAGATGACTTGCGGCGCTGCCATTGGCTGCTGCCGGCAGGTAATTCACATGCTGGTTGCCCTTTTAAGGCAACCGCTGTAAAAATCCTTGTCGTCTTTTCATCATCGTGTAATTCTTTTTCCTGTTTTTTTCCCCCCCCTTCTTTTCTTTTTTCCTCAGTCGCTCCCAGTTTCACACGCACTCCCGCTTTTGTGTAGCAAAGCGCCTGCGGGACAAAAGGCGAGGGGAGGATAAAGCGCAAGAAGTGAGAGGAGATTTACAGGAGGAGCAACGCCTTCCTTGGCTCATCTGATTGTAAGCTGGTAACCTGGAACGCAGTGCTGAGCTGTTACATAAGAGAGACAGGCGACACCCTCAGAGACCGTGTGTGTGTGAAAGTGTGTAAGAAGCCCACTTTCCCCTTCTCATTGTCAGCCTTGTTTGAGGCACAGATAACTGGGTTAGTCACACTGACATATTTTCAGTCAAAAGAGACTGGCTGCAGCTGTGGTTCATTTCTCCATGTGTGTGTGTGTGTGTGTGTGTGTGTGTGTGTGTGTGTGTGTGTGTGTTTGCTTTTCATGTGAAAGACTCACACTCTGGCTTGAGGGAAATGCAACCAGTTTTTATCCCGTGACCCCCATCCTGGCTGTAATTTATGAACTCTCAGCTCATTTCCCAATATTTCACCATGTGAGAGACAGTGAACCGTTTGAAAAAAAAAAAAAAACTTTGGGAAAGTTGCTGCATCTTTTTTTTTTTTTTTTTTTTTTTTTTTTTTTTTTTTTTTGTTAAACGGGGGACCTAAAATC